TGTTTGATTAATTTCTTTCTATTTTTAGTAGAGACGGGGTCTCGCTCTTGCTCAGGCTGGTTTCGAACTCCTGAGCTCAAACAATCCACCCACCTCGGCCTCCCAGAGTGCTAGGATTACAGGCATGAGCCAGCACACCTGGCTGAAAATAACTTTTTAACAATACAATTTAAAAATAATATTTTAAGGCTGGGCGTGGTGTCTCAAGCCTATCATCCCAACGCTTTGGGTGACCAATGTCGGGGGGAGTTTGAGACCAGCCTGGGCAACATAGTGAGATCCCATCTCTACAAAAAATTTAAAAAATTAGTCAGGTGTGGTACATGCCTGTGGTTCCAGCTAGTCTGGAGACTGAGGAGGGAGGATCGCTTGAGCTTGGGAGTTGAAGGTTGCAGTGAGCCGTAATGATGCCACTGTACTTCAGCCTGGGTGATGGAGTGACCCTGTCTCTAAAAACAAACCCCACAAAAACCTCAAAAAACCTAAAAATAATATTTTGAGTCAGAGACTTTCCATGTTAATATAGTGTTGAGTTAAAAGGGAGGGAGGAGCAGGAGACTAGGAGCTGGCATGTAGCTGTTTAGAATTGTGACTCCTAAGAGGCTAGAGATAATTTAATTTGTCTTTTCCCCTCCTTTTTCTTGTAGTTAGAAGGGGAAGATAAAAGACTTTGTGATTCATGAAGAATGTGGTTACTAAGAAGTGCCTATCAAGCCACTGGTTGAATTTCCATGAAAAAGTGATTAAGCAGAGAATGGAAAAGAAGGTTGATTCCAGGTGAGTGAGGGGACTTGACAGAAAAGGTAGCTGAAATCATGGTCCATGTAAAAGTCTGTAAACGTTTGGTGTGTGAAAATAATATATTAACAATAAATACATAAATAAATTTTCTAAGCCATGAGTGATGAGGTCGAAACTATTGGTAAGGGATTTTCTGTCACTGACATTTTGAGTTTCTCATCTATAAGAAAATGCACATTTCGTGCATTATGTTACAGTCAAAAACCATTTTGAAGCCGGGCACAGTGGCTCATGCCTGTAATCCTAGCTCTCTGG